GTTGGGGTTACTGAGTGGCTGCTTGTTAGGGGACAAAACTTCCAGAACACGGCCACACAGCCCGGAAGACCCACACCAGCCATCGTATGCCGGCCGTGAAAGCCTCCGACAATACACTCATACTAAACTTTGTTATTTTAACCTTAGGTTACTTTCTGCAGTTTAGTGTGTGAAGGTTTAATATTTTAATTGAGTAGCCAATTGAATGTATTACGTGAAGATGTGCAAAGGACAGATTTTCAGATAATTCACATTTTATATATATAGATGAATGAAACATGGTAAACTAGAGGAAATAAAGTCATGAAATGGAATCTGTAAAAATTGGTACAAAACTGAAATGTATCAAACATTATTTCAAATAACCTGCAGTTAATCACCTTTTTCTAATAAATCATTATTTTATATAAATTATTTAATTATAATTATATAAATTATCACTAATTCTAATAAAATAATTATGCAATATTACATAGTACAATGTGTTCATATAAGATTAAAATCATAGCAGCAAAGATAATGGAACTTATTTTAAAATTATTATATAAAGAGTGATAGTTTTTGAGCCTAACCTCTATCAAAACAAGATTTTTTCCCAAATGCTAAATGGTAGTGAAATCTGGAGATGAAATACCTGTGTATCTAGGCTCTGGAAATTATTTTAAAAAAACCATTTTTTAGACAACTTCTTGGCCTCTACTAGCTATTCTACTTCAGACAAAGCTTGGCCACCTTCAGTGAAAGCTGAGTTTCATAAAGCCCTGATTAAGTACAATAAATGTATTTTATTGAAGAATCATATATTCCCAGTGAGCCAATATTTTGAAGTGCTGACACATTAGAAGACATGAAAATTGGTACTCCATGATGTATTCACACTATATTCCCTCCCATTCAAAGAATGATTCTTTGCAAATCATTCTGGGGAACCAAGAACCATATTCTGACATGCTCCCTGACACAGTAGGCTAAAAACAAAGTGCTTGTTAATACAAGTTTATACAAATTGCACTAGGTATAGACAGCCCTAGGATTCCAGATTATGTCAAGAGAAATGACTGATGGGAAGTCACATCAAATCATGCTGATGCAAAGGTTGTGTATATACCATGAATTCCAAATTAAGATGTGCCAATTTACTTCATCACTGTTCCTCCAATCCAAGTACAACCAGATCTAACCCTACCTTGCTTTCTGGCTGGGCAAAGTAATAATAATTAAAAAAAAAACCTTTGCCCTTTCTGCATGTGAACTGCTGCACCGAGAGCAATAAAAGTGCATATTTTGAGCATATAAGTGAAAAAGTAACTTTGTAACCAATCCTCAATTTACAACCTTTGCAGGTCTGTAAAGCAAAGCTGAAATAAGGCTATCAACAGTCATGGTTTCACTTAGCAACCATTTTGCTTAATGACTGAGTTGCCAGTCCTGCAAAACAAGGACTACTTGCATAACCTAACAACTCTTATTTTGATATTTGCTTCTTTGTATCAAATGTAAGTCGAAGTCAACACCTCCTGACCTGATGGCCACGTCCATGTGACATTTTCTAGGCAATAAGATGGAAGCGGTTTGCTGCTTTTTTCAGGGATTTTTTAAAAATCTCCTACTCTTGCCTACAGCCAAGATTTTCCTAGGGCAAGGTTTCTCAACCTTAGCAACTTTGACTTCAACTACTAGAATTCCCCAAGCAGCATGCTGGCTGGGGAATTCTGGAAATTGAAGTCCTGACATTTTAAAGTTGTCAAGGTTGAGGAACTCTGTCCTAGGGGGTCACCCATGTAAGTATTAGCCAGATCCAATCCTTAGTTGGTTTTCCCCAGATCAGCCAAGACTGGGGAGGCATTGCTACCATTCCCCCTTGAGATGACTTCTCTCACCCTTGATAACTGCTGATATACCCTTTCCCTGTAAACTTCCCGTGGTATAAATAACATTATTTGACCCTTATTATACTGTATCTCCTTTGGGAGATCACTTGTTTTGACAAGTTTGGCAAGAGATTCCCCCCTTATTCAAAAGCTGTATAAACACTGAGCAGCTTGAAAAAGGGGACAGGCACAGTCACGCATCACAAGAAATAAAGGGCATCCAGGAAAATAACCAAATGAGTGGGGAAAAAACCCCACTGATGAATCCATCCTTGCACTCCATCAATTAATTGTTTGCATTCCCAGTCCATGCTCTTGCTTTATGACCTTAGATAACGGCTCCTTTCAATCAAGCTCAGCTTCTGGAGACTACAAAGATGTGTCCATTTGTTTCCTCAGCAACAGTGCAGAAGTGGTTCGCCCTAGCCTTCTTCCAGGCTGTTTTCCTCAATTTCCTAATCCTGCGATTTCCTGATGGTATCCCATCCAAATACAGGACGAGGGATCAATTAAATAAAACCACCCACTCCCTACCAGGGGCGTTCTCGATGTATTGATGTAAGTGGCTGGGATAACGGCTGTCACAGTCCCAACACAAATGGAAAGCGAAAGATGATGGAAAGCCTCGAGCTTTCAGCCCCTTCGCGCCATTTCGCCTTCTCTGACAGAACGTACCTCTTCTCTGCGCCTGCGCACTTGCACCCCCCCCACCTCCCCTCAGCGACGCCCGCTCCTTCGCGCCATTTCGCTTTCCTGGGCGGATTGGCCGCTCCGGCTGCAGACGTCGCGCCTGCGCACTCGCCTCCTTACCTTCCCTCAGCAGCGGCGGCGGCGGCCGTGGTGGTTCTTCTTGTTGGGTCGCGTCGGGACGCGGCGGCTGGGCGGGCTTTCTGAGGAGTTTGGTGGCGAGCAGCCCTGAGACTGTGGCGCCCACAGCCGCTCCACAAACGAAGCCGCCGAAAAAGCGGCTCCGAACGAGGCGGGCGCCTAGCGCCTCCGTCATCGAGCCCGACGCGGCGGCCGAAAACGGGGACCGTCAGGCGAGGAGCGAGGCTTTCCTCCGCCTCCTACCCGGCCGCGCAGCCTCCCTGCCGCCTTGCTTTGTTTGCGAGGGAAAAAGCGCGCGAAAGTCGCTCTTCTCTCAGCCAGCCTGGCTTGTGCTGGTGGGGTGAGGTGGCCTTCCACGCCCATCATCCCCATCCTGGATAGGGCACACTCTCAAGAATCTAGACGTCAGTTCGCTAAAATGTGTGTGCATAACAGCCTCATCGATCCCTGCGATTTGGCCTTGAGGGATGAGAAATAAAGCCACAGAGCAGACAGGGCGATCTTTTGGATGGGGGGCCAATGAGAAATCCCAGGCTGTAGGCTAGACTGTGAACTTGAACTGCCCGGGACAGAGGCAACGACAGGCCGTTTCTGTATTGTTGTCAAGAAAAAGACATGGCCGCATCCATGAAATCCAGAGTTGAGCTGGGCTTGAGGGAGCCTTTAGTATCAGCAGATGGAGCACTTCATTCAAGCTAGATGGGCTCTGAAGCTAAGCAGTTTGGAGCTGGTTTGTTCTCAGATGGGAGACCTCCAGGAAATAGCCCAGAGGGGAAAAAGGCAGTGACAAACCACATCTATGTTGCTTGCAAGAAAAGTCACCAGGAGTCAAGCACAAATTGAGGCTGCCTTTGCTGTCTTACACAGACAGGTAGATCTTCCTCCATTTTGCTGAGCTACAGTTTGCAGAATACAGTTGGCTGGGTTCCCACATCTATAATCCATTGTTTGTAAATCCCAATAGTTAGGTTCACACAATATGCCGAAACAAAGCTATACCAACTACACCTGGTTTAGTGTCATCTGTGAACTCAATACCAACTTAATTTTGTAAGGAAGGCCATTTTAGGGAGTAGTTAGGATTCAGCCAGTGGTGTCCATGGAGGGGAAGGCATCAAAAAAGTTAGTAGTTGTGACACTGATTGAAGCCCTACCCTTTTGCTTGTGCAGCATTGCATGTATGTACAAGGCAACAGAGCTTTGATTGTACTGCTGCAACCACCATCTTGACTTTTTTTAAATGCCCCCTCCCAGGATGCCACTGGGTTCAGTGTAGCGAGGACATTGTTCAGGCAGAATTTATTAAACATGGTTGGTTGGATTTACATAATATGATTTGAAAACCACAGATGGATTCTCTCTCTCTCTCTCTCTCACACACACATTTTATATTATATATTTATAATATATATAAAAATAAATATTTAAATATATAAAATATAGCTAAAATATTTTACATCCTAGGTCATCCAGTTATGGCTGAGTTGTATCTTTAAGTCCTCCTAATCAGATAGTTTGACTACCTTATAATAGATTTCACTTCAACCTCCCTAAACTAGGGAGGAACGTA